AAAAAAAAAAAAAAAAAGAAATGCTGGGTACATAGATGCAACAAGTTGAGGTCAGAGAGCAAAAATCCATGGTTCAGAATTCAGAGAAAGACGTGTAGACCAGGTTAAACCTTTAAACACATGTGCCCTGAGAAAGTTATTGACTCTCCATTGGTTACTTGCAGTGGAGACTCATGCCAGAGAACGGCTGGTTTTGAGATGCGAAGGGTATGCAGAGAATAGGGAACATACAAGACATTCATTTCAGCTAAATCTCATGAATGTGTGCTCAGTGTTGTGAAAGTTATAAATTATTGACATAGATCTTGTCAGTAAAAGGAAAATGTAAAAAGTAAAGATTCACAGTCTAATTTAGGAGCAAACCAGTACAGAATTGAAGAGGCAAAACCCACAGGATGCCTAAATGAAAGTGTCACCTGATTGGAGGGTGGGGATCTTACATTTTATCCTGAATCTTTAGAGGAGAGAATCCCACCTATGAATGATACTTGCTGTAGGTACATGAAGCTCCTGGGAGAGTTGTGAATGGGGCAGACTGCTCATGCAAAGTCCAGATGTAGAACCTGGGAGCAGTGTTCTGAAGCACCCAGATGTTCTGCGTTCTTGCAGCTCTCAGAAGGGCTGTCTACTCAGACACACTCCTATTTTCCTGCTGTCTGTGGAGGCCCAGGGGGTGAGTCACAGACCAGACACCTGGATTGCAGAAACCCCTTACTTTCATGTAGCTTTAGAGGAAAACCGTTGCCCAGTGAGGCTTCACTATTAGAATAGAAACCTTTCTAGTTGTTCCCTTGCCAGGAGTCCTAAATGTCTATATAAATTAAAGTGGGGGTGTTTGCATTAAATATGATAGGCTGGATACCAACTTTCACAGTAATGAAATTTGTTTCTGCAAATGGTAAACTCATTTATTTCTCTACAGCTGGCCTGAACTCAGAACTCTCAAGCTCTGTTTTCTGATGATGCTAATTTTTTTCTTGGAAATCAAAGTTTTCCACATTCAGAAAATTAGCAATTTCTTAATACTTCAACATGTGATGCCAGGCTCTCTTTTTCAGTAGCTTCTCAGGGTGTGGACCCTCTGCCTTCAGAATGGATTCCTCTGAGTAGACACATGAAGGTGGAGTAGAAAAGCTGCCCATCCTATCTTCCACAGTTCAGCCAAGAACGGGGCTCTTAAAATCGAAGTCCCCAAATGAGAGCATCAGTGTCCCGCAGAAACCTTCCAGAAATTCATTTCTCATGCCCTAGCATAAATCCACTGACTCAGAGTCTCTGAGGCCAGGAGTCTGTTTTAATGAAATTGCTGTGCGGTTGTGATAGCATTGCAAAGGCCAGTCTAAGCCATCAGCACCTTCCTACTTTGGTTTGACAAGAAGTGTGAGCATTACTAAGCTTCCACACAGCTCACATCCAGTATTAAAATGTCTTCTTCTGCTCACTGGCTACCTGACCACTATGCTTCCTCCACCTGACCAGTGTCTGATTTTCCCTTCTCCTCTGCCTGGTTCAGAACTGGCAATTCTGTAGGATGGTCTTCTGTCTTGAGATCACAGGTTCCACCCTACACAGAATGTCTCTGGTAAGGCATTGGAATAAATAAATAAATAAATAAATAAATAAATAAATAAATAAATAAATAAATAATAAACAAACAAACCAACTTAAAAAAAGTCAGATGTAGTGGTGTGCATTTGTGCATTTGTAATCATACACTCATAAAGCAAGATGTTAGGCAGAGACAGGAGAATGGCTTCAATGGTTATTGGCCAGCTCTCCTGGAGTATCAAGCAAAGAAGAAACATCAACAGAGACGCTGGCTGCTTCAACAAGCTGGAAGGGGAGGAGGGACTCCCAAGAGTTTTCTTCTGATCTCTTCAGGAGTGTCTCCCTGCCATATTCTCGAACCTCAGAAATGCATCTTTTCTCCTACACTCATCACGATGAGTGATGTTTCCATCATCTTCACTTACCGGGAATTGACAGTAGATGTGGGCAGATAGATGGTCCAGCTCTTCCTTGAATATTGCTTGTTCTTCTCTCCTCTCTGCTTCATTTCTCTTTTTCCAGGCCATAAAGATGTTTTGGTTTTGTTTAGGCACCTAAATTTTAGACCTACCACTTTTGAAAGAACCCTTGTCTGTTCTCTGTGCACATGCGTGTGTGTGTGTGTGTGTGTGTGTGTGTGTGTGTGTGTGTGTGTGTACCAGTGCACACCTTACACAGTCCTTGCTCCTGAAGAGATCAGAAGAAAACTCTCAGGAGTCTCTCCTCCCCTTCCAGCTTGTTGAAGCAGTCAGTGTCTCTGTTGATGTTTCTTCTCTGCTAGATACTCCAGGATAGCTGGCCAATAACCATTGGAGCCATTCTCCTGTCTCTGCCTAACATATTGCTTTATGAGTGTATGATTACAAATGCACACCACTACATCCGACTTCTTTTAGTTAGTTAGTTAGTTAGTTTATTTAATGTGGGTATCATGTCATTGTGTACACATGGAAGTCAGAGAACATCTTTTGGGAGTTGATTCTTTCTTTCTGCTATGTGGGTACCAGCGATCATACGCATGTCCCCCAGGTTCACATTAAATGTTTCTATTTGCTGGACTATCTCCCCCTGACCCAAAGGACCACTATTCTGTATCCAAATCATTTTCATCTCTGTCATCTGTTTTTGTCTAGGAAGCCTTAACATATATGACAATTGACTTTTACTAAGTTTCTATATCAGTTTTATATCTCAGAAGCCTGTCACTTACAGACTCCTTGTATTCTTCCCTTAACTTTCTTTTGAACCTCAGCTAGACTAGATCAGCAGTTCTCAACCTGTGGGTTCTAAACCCATAGGGGTTGAAAGACCCTTTCACAGGGGGTTGCATATCCTGCATAAGCAGATATTCATATTATGATTCAGAACAGTAGCAAAGTTACAGTTATGAAGTAGCAACAAAATAATTTTATGGTTGGGGGTTACCAAAACATGAGGAACTGTACTGAAGGGTTGCAACATTCAGAAGGTTAAGAACCACTGGACTAGAGGAAGAACCATAAGGATGTGTGTGTGTGTGTGTGTGTGTGTGTGTGTGTGTGTGTGTGTGTGTGTGTGTGTGAAAACAAACATATTAATAAAAACTTTAAGACAGATGCTAAATAGATGGCTCAGCCATTAAGAAAACTGGCTGTTCCTCCACAGGACCTGAAGTCTGTTCCCAGCACATACATGTTAGCTTAGAACTCCCTGGGAGTCCAGTTCCAGGGAATCCAAGGCACTCTTTTGGTCTCTGTTGAAACCCTCACATATGAGGAATACACACACAGAAAGACACACACAAAAATAAAATAAAGACAAATATTAGAAACAAAAACTTCGAAGCATTGTCACAAACCAACTAGAGCCTAGACACATGGCAACAGTTTTCTAGTCATTTACTCTGGTTTCAACCTCCACACCCCACTAAAATCCCTCTGCTCCCTAACTAATTTTCAAAAGATACATTTTAACTTATAATTATCTTCTTTTTAAATTTTATTATTGTTTTTATACAAACGAGAGTTTTGCCCACATGAGCACAGGTGTCCAGTGCCTGTGGAGGCCATAAAAGGACTTATAATTCCTTAGAACTGGAGTTACATATAGTAGTAAGCCGTCATGTCAGTACTGGGTTGTTGGGTATAAGCCACCCTGTAGGCCCTCGGCTACTGTTACAACAGGGATTCTGTCTTTACCCTAGAACCACTCCTCACCATAGTCATAATTATTGTCTAGTTTTCATCTTTTTTATTGAAGTTCAACAATCATATTGAATAGTCAGTGTTACTGTCTTTATTCGTCAAGATTTTTATTCCCTTTGCCTTAATACTCTGAAAACACTTTCAATGTCATTTGTAGAGTCAAGTTCCCTCTAGTTTTGCAGTGTAACTGGTCTGATATGACCCAGGATGTGTTCTCATTGCCAGGATTTCACAGTGCTGGAAGATTGAGCCCTTTTAATGACTTTATTCCAACACCTTGAATTCAATTAAATAGTCATATCTAAATTTAGAGTAACTATTCATTTATACACTTGTATAACGTAATATTTGTCCAAAAGGATTTTCATTAAATGTGATCTATGAGGCTGTGATGACAGTTCCTATTTTGATGTCTAATCTTCTAGATTTCGGAATTCATTGCAACATGAAATTCTGTAATGAGGTGGAAAAGCAATAATAATGCTTTAAAATTCCAATTCCTTCCAACAGACTTAATCTGACTTCCAAAGGGATGGATGCTCTTTCTGATGACACAGTCATTTCCACCTGTTGCACAACGTGTCATATTTCAATGTAAGGATGTCCTTGCTGCACTGTACCACCACCCCTCAATACACTTCTGTTGGGGGATTGTACAGGACAGTAGGGCTTCATGCCTTCTTTGTGGTTCCCTGGGACTCCTTCTGAAACTCTCTTTTTCTTACTCCCTCTCCATCCTGGCAGCCTTTCAGTTTGGAGAAAGATCCACTTGTTCAAAATTACCCATATAGTCATGTGTTGAATTGGTTATAGAGAAAGGATCTCTGTTAAAAGCAAAGGATTCCAAGATAACCACGCACTGGTCTCTCAGAGAGCCTCATGGAAAGGAGATGCAAAGACTAATTAGCACTCTTAGAAGTGATGAAATGAGACTCTACTGTACTCATGTTAATTCTGACAAGGGTGATTTAAAAAATCTGAAATAAGATTATTTGATTGTCTAAACTTCACACTCTTTCCACCACTCTGATCTAATGCCGCAGTGTAAGTATTTTTGAGAGTACATGTAGTTTTTAGTCTACATTCAGCAGTATGAAAAAGAATAAAGTTATGTTTAAGGTATGTAAAAGACATTTCCTATGGAAGAGTTAATATGAGTCCATTTTTAATTGGCAATGATCTTACATCCAACGAATAGGCTTTTGAGTAACAGAACTATTACAATTAACTCAGTTGTCAATGAAGGTAATTCTTCTTAGGCATGTGTTCATGGTCTGAAACATTTCTAAGTATACAAGATTTTTGTCATCATTGTAGCACTATAGAAAAGAATACCTGCCTATACTGGAATCTTTATGATAATCCACTATTTAGGAAACTATGAATAATAACTTCTCTGATATATCTTAAGGCTATAAAAGTATATAATTAATATTGTGACAAGAACTTTTGAAGAAATTTGTTCTTTTTGCAAAACAAAAAGCATAATTACAATTCTTTTATGTCACAAGAAACCATTTCATTAGCTAAAATTTCTGTCTGCAGTGAGAGTGGCCTTCTGACCCAAGAGCTTTTGTATTTTTTTAATATTTCAGCTTCAAGGATAAAGAAAAGATACTAACACAGAACTCACTTAAATTGAAAAGTAGCAACCAATCGTCAGTAGATTCATCCGTTCCAGAAAAAGAATGTTTAATGATGATAATTATAATTCCATTTTATATACAAGTTTATTTAGTAGATCCTAGACTAATGGGCTGACTCTTAAATGTTTTTCTCTATAATGTTAATGTATTTCCCTGTTCCTTAAGTATAAAGTTATTACATGTAAGTTATTCATAGGCTTTAAAAATAGAGATGATATACTAATAGCAGTAAATGGAAAAATAAAAGCACAGAAGTAGACTTTTAAAAGACTATGGCATTTTATATTAAAACTGCTTAAACCTTTGAACTGTCAATAGAAGCAAACAGACAGCATGCCTGGCTGAGGTAAACCTCCTCTCATCCTCTGCTGGCTAGAAAAAGCTGGGTTGTTTTGAGGCCGAATTTGCTTGGGAGCTGAGTTAGCACAGGCTATGAGTGAGAACTGAGGTAGGGGAGTGTGCTGCAGGTATAGTAAGGGTTCTAACACATTGCTTGTGTGCCTGACACTCAAAACTCCCTCTGCACCACTGTCACCCCTACAGCACTGGCCAGGGCTTCTGGGGCAACTCTATTGGCTGAGTCTTAACCCCGGCACGTCCTGCGAAGGAGGAATTTACCAGGAGACAGAAGAACAGGAGAGCAAGCCCTCCAGAAGGAAGAGAAGGGAGTGTTAATGTGGCAATTCCATGAGCTTTTAATTGGGAAAGTAGCATGCAATTCAGGCATCAAAAATAAATCCTAGCAGGCCCTCTAAAAGAGCAACTGTGTTAAGTATATGCAAGAATGTCTCATTTCACCCCAAATGTTTAGCATCCTGTGAAAAGCTGTTGATCAAAGGTCTAGCATTATTTTTAAATCAGAAAAGAGCAAACCATTTGAGTTCAGTATGCTCCTGAAAGAAAAGTGTGGCTAAAAACCATGTCACCTACCCCACCCCTCCATCTTTTCCCATTCTGATGATGCACACACACACAGCAGACAAAATAATGGTGAAGATAATTAGTCTGGTGATTACCTCTCTATTTCTATATTCTGAAAAGGCACATCAAATCTTCTTTATCATATTAGAGTCCAAAATTTATTATTATTTTCTAGCTAAATTCAAGGGTCACGGTTCCCTGTTTAATCTATTAAAGTCATGCTTATCACCACGAGGCCTCCTTTACTGCAGAGAGATTTTATGAGCAAAGACTGCATGGGGAGACTAATATTATTCCCTAAAGACCCCCGGCAGCTTTTCTACACCGATTTCTGCTTCTTTATGAAGAATTTGTCCTCTGGGCTGCATAGCTACACAGTGCAATGTCCCAGACGCCAGACTGCAGAGTCAAATCCTTTGTGGCAAATTGTTACTCATTTGCAAACTGTTTATTTCTGGAAGGGACTTGGGCTGACATCAACTGGTACATATGTGTGGCTTTGACCACCAGGGACATGAAAAGCCTGGGGGTCAAGGAGTTTGATGCAGAGTTGGCTCCTGGCTGCCCTAAATTTTCTCGGTACCTCACTCTACACGGATTATCTGATTCCTGTGCTTTGAGTTTGTCCAGCATTACTCATGGGTTCACTTTGAGCTGGATACAGCCCATGGCTGTAAGCAACCCAACAGTAGGGGTGGAGGTTGAAGAGGTCACGCTGATCGAAGGCTAGTCAAACACCAACAGCACAGACAGCAGGATGTCCCTCTCCAGAGTGAGACAATAGGCACCAGACCTTATGTGGGTTCCTAATCTGATAGGACTGGTGGCTATAATAAGAGTAGGTAGAGGAGACCGAAGAGGTGGTGGGGAGACAGAGTCTATCGGTACCTATACCCAGGAAAGAAAGCCTATGTAAGCACACAGAAGAAACAGTATCCATTAACTGAGAACTCTTTCTGGCTTTGAGCCCTAGTTCGTACCTGAGAGGGCTATCACCTTAATGCCGGAACTCAAGACCCGGAACTGTGAGAAAAAGTGGTTTTGGAGCCAGTTCGAGAAGACAGAGGTATGAGGTTAGAGAGCGTAAGTTCTGACGAGGCAACTGAGCAGACCTTGTCTCAAAATGAAAAGTAAACGTAGGACTTAGATCTTCAGTGGCACAGTATGGGAAGTCTTGGATGGAACAATCCCCAGCACTAAATACAAACACAGAAAAAAAACTTAAATCTAAAAATGAAAAAAAAATCTCTTCTAGAAGCCGCCAAGCTTATTACACTTTATTTGGGCAATCAGAGTATGTTTTGGTTATTTCAAAAATTGCATGCACTAGACTAATGATTCTCAACCTCCCTAATGCTATGACTCTTTAATACAGTTCTTCATGTTTTGTTGATCCCCAATCATAAACTTATTTTCATTGCTACTTCATAACTATAATTTTGCTACTGTTATGAACTGTAATATAAATATCTGTGTTTTCTGATGTTGTTAGGTGACCCCTGTGAAAGGGTCATCTGACCCCCCCCCCCACACACACACAGGGGTCACAACCCATAGGTTAAGAACCACTGTACTAGAATACATAGGTTTTAGTCTACAGTGGAAGACTGGATCAGAGACGTAAGAAAGGAAGAAAGGGTACAGAAGAGATTAGGGAATATTAGCAGATCCCACTGTAGCAGGCTTTTCCAATGGAGGTGAGGAGAAGCTTATCTCCAGGGCTTCTGGAATCACGTCATAAATGTCAGCATCAACAGAGGAAGCCATCATCCTTTGTCATAGTAGTTTCTCATCAGCTACTTGTCTGCAAATAATGACACAGAAACTTATTATTAATTATGAAAGCTCAGCCTTAGCTCAGGATTGTTCCTAACTAGTTCTTAGTTCTTATAACTTAAATTGACCCATATCTTTTGATCTACTTTTTTTTAACATGACTCAGTTACCTTTACTCTGTACTGCCCATCTTCTTCTTCTGCATCTGGCTGGTGACTCAGCATTTCTTCTTCCCAGCATTCTCCCTCTGTCTGGAAATTCCTCCTATCTCTCCTGCCTAGCTATTGGCCATTCAGTATTTTATTACACCAATCACAGCAATACATCTTCACAGTGTACAAACAGCCCACAACAATCCTTCCTCCATCTTCTGGCATTCTGCTGTCAGGCACAGAAGAGTCAATGTCATTCTCTTGAGCTGAGTGCTCAGATCCCCCACTGTAGCTGAAGTTTTTCTGGTCCTGCCTGACCCCAACTGCTGCTCAGACCCAAGTAAACACACAGAGACTTATATTAACTAAAGCTGCTTGGCCATTAGCTCAAGCTAACTATTGACTAGCTTTTACACTTAAACTCAGACCATTTCTGTTAATCTATATGTTGCCATGTGTTCCGTGGCTTTACCTGTGTGCCATTACATGCTGCTCCCTGGACGGCAGGCTGGTGTCTCCTGACTCAGCCTTCCTGTTCCCAGAGTTCTCCTTGTCTGTTTACCCTGCCTGTACTTCCTGCCTGGCTACTGGCCAATCAGCTTTTTATTTATCAACCATTCAGAGCAACACATTCACAGCATACAGCTAGCCAATCAGCTTTTTATTTATCAACCAATCAGAGCAGCACATTCACAGCAAACAGAACATCCCATAGCAACCCACAAATCTGGCTCACTCCCATTTTAGTTTCAAGGTACAAGAAAATGGGACAACTTGGGAGTGTTTCTCTTTTCTTAGGATTCCACTAGTGATAGCAGTATTCCGACACCCTTTGCAAAGCATGACTATGAAGCCAGTGGTGGTAATGCATGCTTTGCATCCTGGCACCTGCAAGGCAAAGGCAGGGCAGGTGCTGCCAATGTCAGGGCCAGCTTGGGCTACTTAGCAAGATCATGATCAGCCTGGGCTAGAAAGTGAGACCCTTTCTCCAACCACTGTTAAATTTACCCAAGTACATAATCCTAAAAACACTCATTTGTTGAAAAGAGTATATAGAGATATACTGGTTTCAAATGTATATAAATTGTTGAAGATTGGGAAGGAGGAAGATCGAGGAAGGGAGGCAAAATTAATACACAAGAGCCACTATTGCTATTTTAATAACTGCTATTCTAAATAAAGAAATTATTTTGAGTACATTTTAACAATTACAAGAACCCCCTAACAAAAATTAAGCAAGATGCATACTTTCCAGAAAAATAAAAAACAAAAGTAAACAAAACAGCTACAAAAGAGGCCAAAGGAAGAGCAAGAAAAAAACAACAAAGCAAAAACAAAATTAAAAACAAACAAACAAACAATAAACAGTAAGGCGGAGGAAAATACTCAAGTTGAAACTCCTCTGGACTGAAAGAAATATAATCCCATGATCTCGTGTGTGTGTTGGGGGGGAGGTCAAAAATGTCTTTGCACGCATGTGAAGGCCCAAGCGTGAAGCCCAGCGTCTCCATGGACCACTCTGCACCTTATTCATCCACACAAGGACTCCCAGAGCTCACTGATGTATCTAGGCCAGCTTGCTCTGCTTGCTCTGGGCGTCCCTTCTCTTCATTTCCCCGATGACTGGATCTGCAGCCAGACCCCAGTGCTTTGCCAGATTTCCATGGGATCTGGGGCACTGAGCTTAGGTCTTCCTGCATGTGAAGTAAACACCAGCCCATAACCTAGTACTTTTAAGAGAACTCTAAATAATAATAACAATATCAGATGTGGTAACTTATACAAATGGGCTGAACGGGGTTATTATAAACTAGCAAAAATCACAAATTATAAAAGCATTAATGGTATCAAGTATCTAAAGTAAAATAATTTTTAAAAATAGACAGTCCTTAAGTCATAAGGAATAACATTTAAAATAGATTTTATATTTTATGTATCCACTCTCTATCTATTATCCGTTTTAAATGGGCTGAAAGAGATGTTTAATAAAATATCAAATATGAAGTGAAATTTCAAATGATAAATATAATATAACAATGCTTTTAGGCATATGCCAAGTAGAAATTTTGTCAAGGATATTAGTTAAAAGAAAATTTGCCAATATCTTCAGGTTATTATGAGCTTTTAATATAGGTAACTTTTTAGATGCAGAATTTAACATTATACAAGTAAGCATAGGATGGGTGTTATTTCAAGAATCCAGAAGGAAACAGTATTATATAATTTATCAATTTACAAAATTATTAAATCAGTTAAGAAAAACATGATCATTGAAATTTTTTAAAAGTACCTTGAATAAAATTCACATCATAATTAGTGACATCAGCACAGACTATGCTATCAATGTGACTAACAGTCACAAGAGACTGAAAGAGAGGCAGGGAGAAAGAGGGAGAGACAGAGAGGAGAGATAATGCACAGAGAGAGGGAGAGACAGGAGAGATAATGCACAGGGAGAGAGAGACAGAGAGGAGAGATAATGCACAGGGAGAGGGGGGAGACAGAGAGGAGAGATAATGCACAGGGAGAGGGGGAGACAGAGAGGAGAGATAATGCACACAGAGAGAGACAGAGAGGAGATAATGCACAGAGAGAGGGAGAGACAGAGAGGAGAGATAATGCACAGGGAGAGGGAGAGAGACAGAGAGGAGAGATAATGCACAGAGAGAGGGGGGGACAGGGGAGAGATAATGCACAGGGAGAGGGGGAGAGACAGAGAGGAGAGATAATGCACACAGAGAAGGGGAGACAGAGAGGAGAGATAATGCACACAGAGAGGGAGAGACAGAGAGGAGAGATAATGCACAGGGAGAGGGAGAGAGACAGAGAGGAGAGAGAATGCACACAGAGAGGGGGGAGAAGGGAGAGGGAGACAGAGCATGCATACATAAAGTTAGTGAATAGAGATTTGAGAGAGGAGTTGAAAGGAGGGAGAAGGGAGATTAATATGAATAATGTATTCAATGAAATTGCCCAAAATTAATAAACTTTTTTGAAAACTGTCATAATTATATATTTCAAATGGTAAAATCCAGAGGTGGCTACCATTAAATCTGAAAAATGTAGTAATTACATGAAACATGATTATGCTTCACCCAGTGACCTCAGAACTAAGATAAAAATGAAGAGCCGAGGCACACTACCCATTTAGTTCAACTGCAAATTGCATCTAAAGAAAATGAAAAACATTACTATATGGGAAATGTACGACAATTACTCTATTTATTACCAGCACAAAGACACAAAAACATTGGTATATTTATATACAGGTAATCTCAAATGTGGAAGTATAGTCATATAAAGAATTATTTTATTCTTATTTATTTATTTATTTATTTATTTATTTATTTATTTATTTATTTATTGGTTTTTCGAGACAGGGTTTCTCTGTGTAGCTTTGCGCCTTTCCTGGGACTCACTTGGTAGTCCAGGCTGGCCTCGAACTCACAGAGATCCACCT